GTAGGGAAAAACAGTAGGTCTGAAACAGGTCTGTATTTGTGTACATACTTTTTACATCGTTTTACATCTGACAAACCTATGTTACTGCTAGTGAGCCTTACACTGGATTGCTTCCCAGAACACCGTTGCATGAGTCTGAGCTCCTGGGCAGACTGTCAGACCACAGAAGGTATTGAACCCGAGTAAACCATAGCTCCAGTACTGTTCAGGCTTTTCTCTGCACTAACATTAATATGTAGGGACATGTAACCTATCCAGAGGTTTATTAGAGTCCATTCAAGAAAACTAATAATTTCCATCCATCAACAAAGCTGCAGGTAGATGCCTGGTTAGAGAATCGCTCTTTATAGATAGCTAGGCACCTGTATCCTGCTCTGTGTATAACCAGCAGAAAATTAGTCTTTTTTTTTTTTTTTGCAAGTACTTCTATAAATTTTGCATTAGCAATTAGCACTTTCAGACTGTGATTATTAACCAAAGCGGTGTTTAAGGGAACATGTGATAGGTTGGAGGGCATCCTGATACATATTTAAAGATTTTTTTTTTTGTGAGAGTGAAGCATACTCATTCATATTTTGTGCAGAAATAAATAAAGGTCTGCCAGAAAAAAAAAAATAATCTATTCTGTAGCACTGCAGAGGGGGGATAAATAGCCCCGAAAGACCCTATTGTACTTAGGAAACTTTGGCAATTAACTGTTTAGCATATGGACAATGAGAACTTTCAAGCATAGAGGAGGAAGGGAAAAATTCTCAAAAAAAAAAAAAAAACAAACACTGTCCAAGCTCCTGGATGTCACCTCAGATACCAGTGGTCAAGACCTAGTAGTTATGGTGCTTCAGTTGTGAGAGTGAAGCATACTCATTCATATTTTGTGCAGAAATAAATAAAGGTCTGCCAGAAAAAAAAAAATAATCTATTCTGTAGCACTGCAGAGGGGGGATAAATAGCCCCGAAAGACCCTATTGTACTTAGGAAACTTTGGCAATTAACTGTTTAGCATATGGACAATGAGAACTTTCAAGCATAGAGGAGGAAGGGAAAAATTCTCAAAAAAAAAAAAAAAAACCCAAACACTGTCCAAGCTCCTGGATGTCACCTCAGATACCAGTGGTCAAGACCTAGTAGTTATGGTGCTTCAGAATAAGTGACACAAGCGCATGTGGGATATATTTCAAAAGGACTAAGGAGAGGTATTGTCTACAAAATCAAGATGAATTAGAAGGAGAGCCAGGAATTTACATAACAAATGTATCAGACTTTGAAACTACCTTGAAGTCCCCTCACTCCCCAAAACCCTCCTCTTCCACATTTGCTATCCTGAAGTATCCCACCCTGGGGATAAGTTACACTTGGTTTACTCTAAGCACGAGTACTTAGATGCTCATACAAGACCCAAACTCACCAAGGCAAGAACCTGCAAACACAGTTGTAATAACACCTCAGTCACTTTCAGATCCCATTTGCTTATTTTGTTCTTGTAATTATTAACTTGTAATTATTTTTCAATTATTTTTAGTCTCTCCTCTGTTCTAATGGTAATAACATTTCTAGCAAATACCCGACTACTTGAGTGGTGGCTTGGGTCATACATTTTTTGGGTCATACATTTTTTGACACGTATGCATCAAAAAATGCCAGGCTTCAGATGTCATCAGTATACTTTCAGTACATCAAATTACTTTAAAGATTAAAACATACGTTTAAAATTTGAATGAACTATTTAGCATATTGTAGAACCAAAAGATGGAACACACTTTCCATGGAAGGGAGGATCCAGATGACTGGCTGGTTGGTCTGGGTTCATAAAACAACCTCCCCCTGTTTATGTATCATACTCTTATCATGATGCTATCTGAACCTTTTCCAAAGCAATGAAATCCAGGCAAATTGCCTGGATTTTCTCACATCATGCTACATTTTTGTCTTGTCCATATCCAGGAGAAGGAAAAAAACCTATCATGGTGGTTTTCATCTCATCTAAAACTCTATACCTACTAAAAAAACTGTGTTAGAGCAGGGCTGGACGCAGCTGGCTGGGGAAGTGCGCTCTCCCCAGCTGCGTGCTAGCAGCACCGCGCAGCCCCACCTTGGTCACACACGGGGACTCTGAGCATCTCAGAGAAGGCAATTTCTTGTAGCTACCAAGAATTACTCATTAAATAAGGGAACGAATGAAAACTTGCATAGACAAGAAATGCAAAACCTCAGTGAAAGTGCAGTAAAGGGAATTTGTGAGGCTCTCATTCACACGGATGTTTTCTAGCCTGTAGTGGATTTTGTGAGCTATTCTATTTAATAAGATTTATGATTGGACTTGATGAACTTAAAGGTCTTTTCCAACCTTAATGATTCTGTGATTCTGTGGTTATCTTAGATGCAATTTATAATTATGCTGACTGAAGGAGCTAATCCGATACCAAGAGACTCAGGTATCTGAACTTATTTTCTGTACCAAGTTGAATTATTGTGCCCCTCTTTCTGCTAATGCTAGATTGTTCATGCAACATACTTTTATGCCTTCCTCCCCCCCCAATATATGAACTTTTTGTTAGTTATTTTGAGAGCTGAGCCTTAGGCCTGACAATTGACTATTTTCCAAATGATCATTTAAAATGGTCTCTTCATACTTGAAGAACGAGCAGCCCTTAAAAGAGAACTGAAGCAGAGGATCCCTGGATTAACTGATCCTGCGGAGCAGGAGAAATGAGAATATAAGGGCTGGGCTGCGTAAGGAACTACCAGCCCTGCTGAGAGATAAAGGCAGCCCCGAGCAGGCAGGGTGGCTCCAGGGCGAGGGTGCTCAGCAGGAGATAAGCGTGGTGAAGAGAGAAAGGTTGAGGAAGCGGGGCTGAGCAGAAAGGAAGGCAGCAGGACTGTTTGATGATAGCCCAGCTCCTTGGGATACCCGGTCTATCGATGTGGGAATATGGCCTTCAATTCCCAGGATGTGTTTGTGGCGAGCAGTACGGAGGAGGTGGCACTGAGCAAAACCCAGGGAGTGAAATGAGCAGAGCAAAAGAGGCGTCAGTGGCTGTCCAGAGGGAGAAGTACCCTAAGAGGGAGTTTTGTGTATAGCAAGAGTTTGGAGCTGCTCTGAACACAGACCGATCCCATGATTAGCTGGATTCCCATGGTGTCCTGGAGCCGACACCATCCCAGCAACGTCGTTGTGCCAGATGCTGTCTGACTGCTGAGGGAAAGGGCATAAAGTCTTGTTATGCTGAATTTCACTATTTCCAATTATTTCACTTGGCACTCACTCCCCAGAAATTTTTACCTTTTCTTTACCTGATATATAATTAATGTACTAAAACATGCGCTTGGAAAGACTAATGAGAAAGGAGCAATGACACCCCTGCTCTTTCAAGTGGATGAATATGAAAAAAAGAAAGACGAGGTAAAATTCTCTCACTTGAAGTTTCAATGAGAATATATTTATCTTCTGCATTGAAAAGGGTTTGGGGGTGCTTCCTCCTTTAGTAGAACAAAGTCCAGTGCCCACAGCATGGCGTGATCCTTGTGTTTGCACACTGAGAAGTCCCACAGGCCAACGATAGCCACCAGCAAGGCAGTGTAGAGTAAATCCGATCGGTCATCCAGGAGAAGTGAATCCCGGTCACAGCCACACCAGTCGCTATAATGACATCCCACTTCGCTTCTTTGAGTCTTTCCGTGCGATGGGACTGAAGGACAAGATTTCCTTGTAAATATGCTCTTGAAAAACAGAATAAAATAATCGTGAATATCACTAGCATGTGTGATTTTAGAGGAGAGAAATGAAAGTTTGGCTGTTACATGTGCAGAGAGGAGATATTCAGCGGAGAGGATATGTAGGTACAAGCTGGAAGGAAGAGAAAGCAAGCAGAGAGGCAAAAAAAGTCTGCCTGAAGAGATGAAGGGATCTTTCCTGAATGCATAAAAGCAAGAGCAAGGCAAGGGAGATGTGCACAATCAGCGAGGCACCAGCAGACAATCACAGCCTTACTCAGCATGTGCACAGGAAAGAGAGAGAGAGGCAGGAAAGTCCCGTGCTAGACAGGGACGTCAAAGAAGATAAACTTCTTACTTCTCCACTCATCTATTGAAAGCTTTTCATGTTCCAGAGAATCATCATAGGACTGTTGCGCTTCTGTCTCCTCCTCAACGTCTCGGAACTGGTCGAAGTAGGGGTGAGCCAACGCCTCCGTCGCTGTAAGCCGCTTTTCCACATCCAGCTGCAACATCTTGTCAAGCAGGTCCACTGCTGTAGGAGAAGACAGGAACAGGGCTAAGCAAGGTGCGAAGGAGACCAGGCATCCTTGTGCATCAACCCTGCAAGTGATGGGACTAATGTTTCCAGTACTACATCTCCAGACCTGAAAAGGAACGAGATTCCTCAACCTGCGTGGAACTCCCGTCAGTGGGGACGTAAAACCTAACCAACAGCAGCCTCAGGGAACTCTTACTAACAGAAGCGGAGGTGTAAATTGTGCAAAGCCAACAAATTAGTCTTGAATAAGCCTTGCTGCATGGATGGGGCTGCAAGAACATAAACAGCGAGCCAGTAACTTCAAGATACTTTTCAGTTTTAATCATTTGCTTTCCCTCTGACCCCTGCAACTCAAAGTAGTCTTAACACAATCTATGCTAAACAGGAAGGCAGGAAACTCAGATACTGACTAGTCTGTCAGCCTCGTTCCCCCATGGTTTTAACAGCTTAATGCTTTCTTCCTTTCAGTTTTTAGAAAAGTTTTGCTCACTGTCACCTCTCATCTACCTGGGAAAAGAGCTCCTTGTAAGAGGTCGATTTTAACGCTGAAAATTGCACATTTCAGCTGCCTGTTAAGTATCAATAGATCCAGGTGTTCAACAAACAGTTATCATCTAAGCTGTACTCCAAAAAAAAAAGTAAAAATAAAACTACTGTAGTGGACTGCAGGGCTCTCTTAGCACTTTATCAAAGCCTATGATGCCTTAGATGTGGGGCTGGGAATAATGAAAAAAGAAGAGCTGCTTTTTTATCTAAATGCTACTGATCATAAGATCACCTGCTTGGCTAAGGCAACAAGCTCTGGAAGCCAGTATCAGCCAAAATTCATCCCAACTCTCATACCAAGTGGAGCTGATACATACAACTGTCCTAATCCCATAATTTACATCCCACAACTGAGACATCCCATTATATCCAGCACCCACTCTCTTCTGGCTTAAATACCTCTTCCTCAAATACTGTATGTTACAGGCCGTGTCATTTTAAAATTAAATTTAAAAAATTTTTAAAAATCCAAGTAAATGGCCAAGAACAACAGAACATTTGCCATTCTAATGTCAATAAAGAATAGTTTTGGTTTTAATCCATACATATTTGCCCTGGGGAGGGGCAGGGCACAACCTGCAAGGGAGGAAAGTAGCAAGAAGTTATGAGAAAGAGGGAGAAAAAGTCACAGCTGTGGTGGTCAGCCTGCCTCCTTTCCAGCTGTGAAAACTTGTAAGAAATGCTGGAGATGACTTACCCTGAGGATTGGCTTTGGGGAAAAGCACAGACAAATCCTTCTTGGGGATTTTAGGAAGGGACTTGATATAGCTCTTCGCCTGAAAGAGAAAGGAAAGCACAAACATTTAACTGCATGTGGATGTGCCAGGGCACTGGGAAATACAGCTCTTGCATCTTATGGCTCAGATGAGCAAAGGCGAATGAACAGCAAATCATCCCAGATGTCACATTTCAGTGACCAGTTTCCAAGGAACTATGTTAATCAATCGAGAGACAGAAATATTCCTGCTTTAAGGGCCAAACTGGAGAGCAGAGGAGGTCAGTGGTTTGCTGGGGCGTCAGGCACCTCACCCGGGAGTCCCTGCAATCCCCACCAGTTCCCAATGCAATGCCAGATCCATCAGATGTGCCACTACCAAAGAGAAGCACCTTCCTTGCCAAGGGGGAAACTTCTGTCGCTCATCTTCTCTGCTGCTGTAGAAGCAGCACCTCTCCCATCTCTATGACACAACCAAGTTAATGTCTCCCCAGCAGACCTCTGCCAGCAAGACCTGAATCCACAGCAAACCTTCTTACCGCTTTGTCCTCCAGCTTCTCCACGAAGTCTTCTCCCGGATGGCCCGTTACTTTCAGGATCTGAGTCAGTTGATCTAGGTCTAGCAAGCTGCGTTAAAGATCACCCATCGAGGAGCGAGCCCTGGACACCACCCAACAGCTCAGCCTGTGGGCTGGGTGCAGCAGAGCCCGAGCACCCGTGGGAGCTATGAGTAGGTTATGGTACAAACCCAACAAAGCTGCACAAGCAGAGACTCATTAGTCTGGCAAAAAGAGCTCCAAGGCTCTCCTCCTGGGATGCCACTGTCATCAACGGGTAATTTTGCTGGCACACCTCTGCCAGGGCATGTGGCCTTAGGTTTGGGGATGGACCTGTGGCCACGCAAGGTTAGACTGCTGATGTAGAACACACGTGGCCAGCACAGAGGTGTATTTCTAAGGGTGGCTTGGCCCCCTCCTATCTTCTCTCTGTTTTCGTCACCAAAAGGACTCGCTGGTCCCTGTGATTACCTCCTGGTAAACCAGACTGACACCTATTTCTTTCGATAGTTTATTTAATAAAAGCCCTTTTACACATGCCAAGAATTATTACCACCCCCCAGGGAAAAGGTTCAGCTTTAAAGGATACAATCTTTTCCTTTAAACAGCGTTTTCCCAGTCAGCATTTCTGCCATGATGCAGCCAATAGACCAGATATCCACTGTTCAAAGAGAAAAAGGAGGGAGGGAAAAAAAAAATTAAAAAAAGGACAGTAAAAAGGAAGCAATGATTGCTGGGGCTGTTTGCTTTGTTGCTTGCAGCAGGCACCCATTCAAATTTCACTCCCATTTTCCACCCTCCCCTGTTGTTTCCTATGCTGCTAAAAATCTCTGCTTTCATCATTTCCCACAGGCACTAGCTCTGGGAGTCGTGCAGCAGCTTTGGGACTCACTCCGCTCCAGGGGATGCTGATGATAAATAAGAAAAACATCTGGAGGATTACGTGAGATCTGACCCAGGCGTGACAGCGAGATCCCCAGGCTCGTCACTGGACAGTCACATCGCTGAAGCAACCCAGCTCACCTGTCTGGTTGTAATGCATCCAGTTCAGAATGACTTCTGGGGCTCTGTACCAGCGCGTAACCACGTAGCCGGTCATTTCAGCATCGGCGTGTCTGGCCAAGCCGAAGTCCAAGATCTGCAGTTCACCAAAGGAAAGGGGTGAAGGAAGGGCAGGAAAAGAAAAGAGAAATCCTACGGGCAAATGAGAATCTATTTCTAAGAGGAAACAAGACAGATCCAATCAGATAATAACGAAGCTCCAGCTACACCACAGCCACCCACGGGATAGTTCAAAGAACTAACAGGTTTGTCTTAATTCCACTGCAAAGTGCAAGCTGGCTGCAAAACCAGTTGTTGTGTGAAGACCCTGCAGAAAGGATCGGTGCTGTGTGCTACCTCGAAGGTCACTTCCTTTCTTGAAGCTTAAATTTCAACTCTGTTGAGCTTTATTTAATGGAATCTTTCTATAACCTGGTGGCAAAGGCGTGCTCCCAGGCCATCAAGACTCACCCTTTCCTATAAAAACACCCTGCAGCTGACAGGGGTGGCCTCTCCCTTGATACTGGAGATGACCCAACCTGTACAGGCAACAGAGCCATTGCTAGACCATAGCACCAGCAAGCTGCAAGCAAACCCTTCAGAGCAACACTGAAAATAACTTTGTCTGGAATCACAACCATCGTGTCAATGAGAACCAAAGGGTAACTGTGGTTGAATCCAGTTATCCTTCAGGGATCGTTCACCTAACACAAGTATTGCTCAGCAGTATTGAATTTGTTTAGGAAGTCGTTATGAACTGCCGTGCCGCAGGAATGACGGCGACAGGATGTTCATTCCGAGTCCTGGGCCCTGATTCAGCAGATTACATCAGCAGGTGAGTATTTCCCACTGCCTGCAACTGCCAGGTAATGAAACGCCTCAAATCAAGTCTCAGAAGGCAAGAGGATACACGACGATGCCCGAATGCCGCGTTTCCTGCTGGCAGAGCAGTACTTCCACGATCTGATATGCTACATGCTACAAAGCCATGCTTTTCCACCTACCTTTAGCTGACAGTCTTCGTTCACAGCCAGGTTGCCTGGCTTCAGGTCCTACAATGGACAAGAGCACAGTAATAAGGATGTTTTGATTTGCAACACATCAACACGAGCCTCAGCTGAACCTCTGCTTGCCTTTGATGGCGTCCCATAACATCCCAACTCCAGTACTGATACAGCAAAGACACCATGCCTGCTACGTCCAGCTTTAGATTGTTACTATTTTACTTTTTTCTGAAACTGTTTTAATTCAAAAAGCATCATAAAATGCTTCACAGCTCATCAGAAAATACAGCATTTCCCCACAGTGCTGCACAAATGAGCAAATCCAAACACATATAGGGTGTAGGAGGGAAGAGAGGCACCAGAGAGACCTTAGAGCAGATGAAGCTATTAGTGAAACGATGTTTAGGAATTTATTAACTTTATAACCAAGCTGTATTTCTCCTAAACAGACAAAAATCAGAGTAACAGAGCACATCAACTTACCCTGTGGATGATTCCAGCTGAATGAATATACTGCATAAAAAAAAAAAAGAGAAGCCACAATGTGATGATCACCGGCAGACAGACTTTCTGTTCTCCAGCAGAGAAACGAGAGCTATGAACAAGAACTTGCTGAGAATACAACTCTGCAGCCTGCTGCAGATCCCCGGCCCCCGGGCAGCAGTTTGAAAAGAAATCTCTGGACTGAATTTCTGACACTATTTGCAATGATATTGCCACTCATAAAGAAGAGGCACAGAGCAGAAGAGGAGGTATGGAGCAATAGTTCCTTACAGCGAGTGCACTAATAGCTTAAAACTATCAAAGGCATCAGGATTACAGGTAGGAACATGGTCAATAAATGACATGAGAACTTTGTTGGTTCAGGTGTTAAACAATGTGGAAAAAAAAATCCCATCATTGAAACGCAAAATGGCAACTCGAATCTCATTTCCAAAAACTGACTACATGGCTTTTATCACACCAGTTAAACCTTCTGTGTGTTCTTCCTCCCTTTATCTAAACTCAAGATAACAGTGATCTGGGGAAAGGTGTTATTAAGGTGAACTCATTAATGCCTTTAAGCCACTGCTCTGACTCCCGATGAAGGATATTAGAGGAGGCAGCATTCAGACATTGTCTCTGCATCTCAGGGTTTGCAGCGATCGCTTTCTGCTCTCTCAAAGCCAGGTAAAGCAGCATGTTCCTTCCTTATTCTATGGAATAGGAAATCATTCCCTCCGTCTTCTCCCCTGAGAGCCTCTGTTAGGAATTCAGCAGAAGCTCCCACTGCTACCAGCCTCTTCCTTTCTATGCAGGGTTTTGCTAAGGGTTTGGACAAGTCAAAGAGTGACACAACTGCTGCCACAGAAAAACCATCGCAAGGCCTATGGCTGCCAGTTGCGTTGGAACCTGATTGACTGATGTGAACAAGCAGTCATTTTGATTGAAATACTCATCAAAAGCAAGTATCTGTTCTCAGGGATGCCACAACCCCCCCAAATCTTCCTGTACAGTGTTGGAAGGGGGTTTTGTTATGGTTCACCCAGAGATGACGTGTAGAGGAGACACAGGGAGTCACTAAACTCCTCCAGACCCACCTACCTTCAGCCCTTTCAGCATTTGGTAGACCAGGTACTGGATCTTTTCATCACTGAATTCATGTCCCATGATCTTTTGTAAATCTGTCCGCATGTATGGCATCACCAGGTAGCTAAAAGGCAGTAAGACAAGGCCCTGAGTCTAGAAGAAAAACACAGGGAACCAGGCTAGCCTTGTTCTCGCTTGGGTTTGGTTTTTTTTTTGGCTGTGTAACTTACTGTAACTAAGATGAGTTGTTGTGACAATGTTCCTAGCATAGCCTGCAGCAATGCTAGGATTTCAACCTGCTCTGAAAATTGCCTTTTCTCCTCCCTTCAAATTGGGTATCTGACATCAAGTAAGAACAAGGATCTTCCAAACTTTAATGATCCTGAATTAGTACCTCAAGTGATGTTCAATTCTGGACAGCCTTACACCATCTGGGAGCTGAAACATCTTGCACAGCTTTAAAAAGTCTTGCAAAACTGCTGTGTCAGCTCCCAAATTTATCTTTGTAATGTTCTCCAGCCCTGCCTCAGAAGACAACATCTAGCTTCCTTCAGTCATTGGCCTGCCTGCTGAGACTGCTAATTAGTTGACAGTCTTCCAGCAGGAACTGATCTGAGAACCTTCAAACACTTTTCCTGCAGGCTGCTAAATACCCATCCAAAAACCCAAACCCTGCTCGTGCCCAAGGATGGGGAAGGGAAAACGACTCATCCAACCCAACCATTGACACTGAGGGAAATGCCAAAAAAAAAAAAAAAAAGAAAAAAAGAAAAAAAGAAAAAAAGAAGAGCAAGAGAGAGAGAACAGCCAGAATCACAATGAAAAGAAAATCAGGTCTTTAAAATTCTCTATTTAATTACCCCAGGGCCTGATGAACGATAGTTCTCCCATTCTGACTGCAGCCTCTTAGCTCAAGCAATCACACAGGCAGTGCGTTAGTGTGGATCACGCTACATGCGATACGCCATGGAATGTAATGCCTCTTCATTATATACATTGGTCTATATATACTGCGCTCTCCCAGCCACGAGCATGGCATGGGATCTGTTTACATATTCTGGGTGTTTTAGCCGTAGGAACCGACTTGTGCTTTTGATTCTCCTTGTTATTGGGGGAGGTCTGGCTTTAGCGTGGCCTCTTTTCAACTCAGTCTGTTGGACTGCACCTCAACCTGATCTATTACCCTGCTGCTAAGTCACCGACCGGTGTCTTGGGCAATGGCTGAGTCTAGATGGAGCGAACACAAACTCCAAACTTACAAGTCCTGGAATCCCTGGTAGGATGTGGCAGAGGTGAAGACATCAAGCAGCCCAATGACCTGATGGAGAGGAGAAGTCCAAATTTAAACCTGGAAAGCATTTGCTGTGCACGTGGGACTCAGGCGGCAGCTCTCCATCGGCACACGCACGTGGGTGAGCACCGAGAACTCCATGTGAGGAATTCAAAGACTCCTCACTATGCTGCACAGCTGCTTTTCCTCTTACTAATACACGGGAGCACCCATTACACATCTGCTTCAGCCCGGTGCCAACTGGGCACAGCAGAGAGGTAGCAGTTAAACCCTGAGACTGCCTGCACATTCCAAATGTCAGGACCTCTCAGTTAAAATGAAGGTGATGCCACCACAGAAGGGCTTGCTCCCCACTGGCAAGAAAACCCGCTTGTTTCCTCAGGAATGGAGAGAAAGGAGTACTTACGTTCTCATGTTGCATGTGCTTCAACAGCATGAGCTCTCTGTACGCTCTCTTGGCAAAGATCTCTGACTGGAACGGGCGGCAGAGCTTCTTGATAGCCACTTTCTCCCCCGTCTTCTTGTCTATGGCTGAACTGTGGCAGACAAATAAAAGCCAGTTCTGACATTGGCAGTATGTTTTAACAAATTTTGCAATCCCAAAGGTCTTCTCCTAGAGAAGAGCTAATTCTGGAGCTCGTAGAACAGCAGCAAAGGCAGACCCTTTGGGAAACCCAGGGGAGCTCTGCACACACGGGTGTTACCCTCTATCACTTCGGGCAGCAGCCCATGCTCCTTGGAGGGTGAGGTGGGATACCAAAGTTAGTGGCTCGTCTGTATTCCCATTAACCTGCAGAAACAAGCTGGAGCCAACAGAGCCACGAGAAGAGGGAAACACAAATGGTTAGAGAGGTCAGGACTAGTTCTAACTCTGCCCTCTCTTTCTCTAACGCATGGAGATAAGGGAATAAAGCAATTTCTGCTCTGCCATCTGCTTGGGAGTTGTTGTCTTAAGGTCAGCCGCCTTTCGTTGTATTCTGGAGCAAAGATGGTGGATGTCATGCACTGAAAAAACAGGCTGCTGGAATTAATTCTCCTGCATTCAGGATCTTTGATGCTATACGTAATGCTTCTGTGTAAAAGGAGGTCTGGCTCAAAATGAGTGTCTTTTATAAAGCTAACGAAAAGATGTAAAACAGCCATCGCTGGAGACGTGACGTGTTATTCCCTCTGGTCACGTTTGTCGTTTGCGGCCGGATAGGGCGATCCCACGACACTTTCTCTGCCTCTGGAGGCCCTTTGATCAGATTGCAAAGGAGGCCCCGGGTTTACACCGGGTAAGAAGTGGGGAGGGAGGTCCTTGGGCTGTAAGTCAGGATTCCCAGTGGTGTTATCCAGAGGGGTGTCAGTGCACCACGTTACACATTGGTGCCTCAGCCCTTCCTTGACACCTCCCCAAGAAGCAAACAGATGAAGAAAGGGTTTTCCCTGCCAAATCGCACTGTGGGTTCCCAGAGCAGTTCCCACCACTTTGCAAATCCTTCTCCCTTCTCCCAGGGAAATGGAAGAGCTGTAAGTCGGCATGTTCACTCCTGCAGCTTTTAGCCGCGGAGGGTAACCAAGCCCACGTGAACGCTGGCATTAGCGCTTCGCATGCGTCCCCCAGCTTTGCACAGACGCGTGTCCCTGCTTCCTTCTCCGAAGGGACGCAGGATTCACCCCACCACGGTCTGTGACCGCCAGGCTCCAGCCACCACTCCTTCCTCAAGGCTCTTGGAGGACCTGAGACAGGGAGGGGCAGGTACCATAAAGCAGTAAAGCTACATTGCTGCGACCTCCAGGGCCATCACTCAGACGCAAGACTTCATAAACAGGGAAATGCCATCTCTAACAATGCAAGCGAACAGAGCATTTTGCTGGGTTCAGTGCTGACTGTGTTAGGAGAGGTGGGGATGTCCCGCTCCGTGTGGCTTCCCCTGTGGTTCAGTGCTCAGGACGGGTTATCAGTTCCCTGCTCCACATCTTGGAAGTCTCTTGCATGGCTTTCCCTGATTGCCAGCCACAAGCGATCCATTGTGGTGTGTCCTCCGGCTATCTTAATAGCTCTCATCAACCTCCCCAACACCATCAGGCAATCTCCTTCCTCTTGGCCACTAAGGTCCCTTCTAGTTGCTCTAAGTTGTGTGTGATGAGAGGAAAAAAAACCAAAACCATAAAAACATCCTTTGGGAGCTTCGGTATCATGACAAGTTCATCATGCATTGAGCCGGGAAAAAGCAAAGGAAGCGCAGGAACAGCCACATAAGGCAACTTCAGCGCTGAAGAAGCCATGGGGTATCTTAGGAGGACAGTGAAGAGTCATCTCAGTTTCAGGACTTCCACAGGTGTCAGCAGAGGGGACAGCACAGTGTAAAGTTTTCCGAGGAGCCAGGGAAGTGAGAGGAAGGGACTCGGACCACAGAGTCAAACAGCTTCTGCAGAATTCAAGGCAGATTTCCTCATCTGAGGGTGTGTGTTCTTACCTGCCTTCCCAGTGGCTGGCCTACAGAGCATCTAACTCCACCACTCAACACAGGAGAGTTGGGTGATGGAGCCCAGCACAGACCGCTACCGGCACCCTTGCCATAAGGCACAGCTAAGAGTTAATCCAGCTGACGCAGCTGGGAGAGCCCACCACGTTCTTCCCAGCACCAGTTGCTGAAGCTCAGAGCTGTGTCCCTGGCAGAGATCAGCAAGACCAGCGTTGGAGGGGTCAGAAGAGTCTTCTTCCACAGTTACATTCAGCTGGAAGCCAAATCACTACAGATTTTGGCAGAATTAATGAGGGAAGAAACATGTCTTTGCTGTTTTTCCCCGAGTTAGTTTCTGAGCTGCTCAAGGAGGTGTAAAAGCCAGCAGCTCCCAGTAATGCTGCAGTAGGAAAGCTTCCCAGCAATTCCCAGCAGAGGACAGCAAATCCTAACTCCACACGCTTCCACCTCTGCTTTGCACAGAAGTCAGCACCAAGACCTCTGGGCTGAGCATGATACCACCTTCCCTCCCTCCCCGAGACTTTCACAGGGACCAGTAAAAGATTTGTCTTATTGTTGGGTTTTTTTTCTTTCTCCTGGTGGGCAAAGAAATTTTGTAAGGATTTCCCTCTCCCCTTTTTTGTCCTGTCTCTTATTTTCTTTGAGCCCCTCTGCTTTCCTTTATGATAAAAACCAGAAAACGCTGTAAAAATATCAAAAAAAGTAAAGTTTAGTCCTGTCTGATTTTGCAGGACTCATTTAAGCATCTTAAATGCGCCCTGCCAGCAAAGTGGGGAAGGGAAACACTGGGAGCCTTTTTGTAAAGGGGCAGCCAGGGGACGAGGACAGAACCTGAGCCCCAGGGTTTCAGGATCCGTGCTGGCCAGCCGAGAGACTTTGCCCAACGCCTACAGAAAGGGACACACCTTTTTTTTTTTTTTTAAGCTCGGCGTGTTACGAAACAAGGGCTCCGTTCAGATCCTATCAATGGGCTGCTTCAGATTCAACCTTCCAAAACGTCGCCCGTCTCCTCCGGTCCGCCAATGTAAACAGAGCAAGATCTGACTGCTGCTCGCTCTTACAAACAGGCACCTTTGCCCAGCTGATTAAATAACAGCAGCTCGTACTGCTTTCTCGTAGGTCAAGGCTTATCATCAGCTGGGAAGGAAGTCCCAGTCTGTTACTGATCCTGGTTTACAATAATTTCTATCCGTTTCAGGATTTCGAGCTGGAAGCAGTATCATGGTGGGTGCTGTATTGTCCAGCTCCTTTCTGCAGGCAACCAGCTGCCTTGGAGGCAGCAGCAGGGACACGCAGCAGAGGACACGCTGCAGCCACCCCTGTTCCAGTACCCCCTGTTATCAGCTCCTCAGCGCTTTCAGACACCAGGTATTTCCCCCCTCCATGCCCCCGCGCTGCCAGACAGAAATCTTAATGCAAGCTCAAAAGCAGCCTGACCCTCAAAGACCCCCAGCCATAGCCTAAGGACACCCACCGAGGCGAGCTCAGGTGGGAAACTCTCCCCTCTGCCCACCCGGGGCGACCGCAGGAGGAAACATCTCGGTTTCTTCAAGCGACCAAGTCTCCAACCCGCTTCCCGCGCTGGAGCGGGAGGCAAACCGCCTTCATCACACATGCAAATGTCCTTTCCTAATGGCGGGGTGCTGACAAGCACCTCCTCATTTCCCCCCCTCCCGGCGCAATTCTTTAAACACCCCTAGCTCACCCCGTGCTGCTGCCTGCGGTGCAGGCAGGACCCCACTCACCACACCGAGCCGTAGGCTCCGGACCCCACGGGGTGGAGGGACGTGTATCTCCTTGGCAGCTCCCAGAGGGTTTTGTTCACCTCCTGTCTGTAAAAGCCTCTTCTCCTTGCGATGTTCATCGCCCGGCGGGTGCGGGACTGCCACCCCCCCAGAGTACCGGAGTACGGGAGGGCTTCTGGGGTGAGACAGGGCCAGCGAGGCCTCCTGCGCTGGCAGAACAACGCTCTAGCGAGTTTCCTTCTCCCTTTTCAGCTGGCGCGAGCGTGAAGGGACATGTCTTTGGGCCCTCCTCCCTCCGCCTCCACATTGGCGGAGGTGAGGCATCAGGTTTCCCGACACGCCTCGGTCTTGTACAGGTGCCTCTGGACTCTGCTATGGGAGCTGAGCAGCCAGCCCCG